AACCGCAAACCCTTCCACTGTCTTGACTCAGTTACCAGCAAACAACTGCCCGATTTCTCTCTGCTGCTCCCCTTCCTGCATCACCTATGTGGCTTCCAAGTCCATGGTGGGGACAGAGGATAAGGAGCCTGTGACACATGGCTTCAAGACCTGCCTGCTGGTCCTACTCAGGCTCCAAATGAAAGCTTTCAACATCAGTCCCGGCACCACAGTGAATGAGCTAGATGTGTAGTCATAGGAAAATTGTGGTGTTCGCCAAAATATTTGTCAGATGAGAAACTTTCAAATCTTCCTTGATTTACAGCAACTTGAGAAAAGTGCCTCTGATGACCTGGGGTGACCAGTGAATCAAAACAAGCACGACATGTCAAAGAATTATCTTCACTTTTAACTGAATCACACAGGCCCTGGGGCTAGGATAGTGCACTCACTGCTTTAGTGGTCCCCAGCTGTTTTTCTTAAGAGTCTGAAAAACTAAAAGTCCCTGCCCGTGACAGAGACCCTACATTGTCTCTGGTGCCCACTCTCACTTTGCTGTAGTAACAGAAGCTTGGTTTTTGAGCTGGACTAGTGGATGCCATATATAAAGGCCACTTTTACTGCCTAGCCCTTTTCTGTACACAAATCAAGTGGCCAGGTCACGGTCAAGGCTATGAACAAAGAGGTCATGGCAACCTCTGGGATGGGCACAGCTGAGATCTACGCTGAGATCATCTCTGCCCGGGTTACCGCGTCCTAAGGCTGCAGAATGACTCAACAGAGTCCTTGCACCACGGCCAGCAACTATCCCCCTATACACACCTCGGCCTCCCTCAGCCACAGGAGAGAGAAATATGCTTCATGTTGAGGCCACTTTTATTCGGGGATGTCTACTTCCTACAGCTGAACCTAACCCTAACTGACAGGGCCCTAGTCCTTGACACAGGTACCTCAACGGGCTGTACTAAGTCTGAAAGTTCTGTGTGCCACGAGAAACAAGGCCTCAGTGAAGGCTGATGTGAAGGGGCAAGCAGAACGAGCACGAGTCCCACAAGGTGACCAATGGCCACTGTCACACAGCAGACGAGCATCTGATGGAGCACAGGCCTTGCGTAACACAGGAGGCATCTGTTAAAAGCTACATAACTGCAAGAAATGTTCAGCTCTCTTGGTAAAGCTGGATGAGACAAATGTCCAGCTAGAGCTGTCCCATCTGAAAAAGGTGAGAAGAAGACCAATCTGGTAAGTTCTCTGTCTGCTACTGGCGGTCTAGGTTGGAACTGCTAGGGCTGTCCTGCAGCCCCAGCAGGAGACAGATGTGTCACCAGAGAGCCCAAAGCCTGTGCCAGGCTGATGTCCAGTGCCTGGCTCCACCAGTGCCTGGATCCTTCAGCCCAAGGGAGCCACTGGTACACAGGCCATAAAAAGAACAATGAGTTTAGGCTTGAAATCTATTATACATAGCACCTTTGATTGTTTCTCACTTGGAACCAATCAGAGGCCAACTGACTAAAGGCCTAGTAAAGTTCTGGAAGAGATTTCTCCATAGAAGCTATAGGCTGGCCTAGAGAATGCTGTGACTCTTCTGTCCTCAGAACATTCCCAGACCCAAACTCTCCCAGAAAGAGTGTCAGATGCCCCAGTTTCTCCAGCATCCATCTCAGATCAGCACAGGGAAGACCCTCCCTGAGGGCTCAGCCATAACCCCACAGACACAGGACAAGAGGTTCTCCTGGGATGTAGAGCCTGGGCTGCAAGATGGTACCAGGGAACATCCTGATTCCCAGTGCAGGAACCCAGCGGCCAATGGTCTCTATTTCTACTGTGGCTGAGTGGTACTTAGGTGTGCTGGGGCACAGAGCTCAGCTGGATCTTTTGGCCAGAAATGAACCCAGGGTTTTGCACATGCTGGGCAAGTGTTCTACTGAGCTCATCTGTTTAACAGATTGCCACACCCAGCCCTTAGAGAGACAGCTGTACATCTCCAGATGTGGAAAACATGTCATGATGAGGTGGTAAGAGTTTTCTATGGAGGGACAGGAAGGCACGCATGCGTAATTGGAAGTGCAGCGGAAACTTCCGACAGTCCTCACTGCGTACTTCTTCCTTGGAACAGAACTCCCAGTACATGACCCAAGGTAGAGAAACGGTTTCCAGAGGGAAAAAGTTTAAGAATCTTGTAATAAAGAGTATGTCTAACTTAACTTTACTTTTCTTTCAGCGCATTAGGAAGGAGCTGCTGAACTGCACAGAGGCGATACATATGAAGATAAGCGAGCATGGAGTGAACCCAGCCCACAGCCGCGGACCCATCAGAGTGGTACGTGGAGTGAAGTGCCGTCCATCACTGTGAACATTCAGAAACAGGAACCATTCCCCATGCAGCAAATCCCGGAACAAGCAGCCTATGAGCCCCAGAAGACCATGCGGAGGTTAGCACGCACGGGCAAAGCACGGAGCAGCAGTGTCTGGAGGAGAAAGCTCTGGAGCACGGAGCCACACACACACAAACACACACACACACACACACACACAAGTGTTTCGCAGGCTGCCTCGTGTGGGAGCACAAAGGGGTTGGGGGAGGAAATCGTTGTGCTGCTGTTCCTGACACGTATAGCCCGGGTGTCCATTTATCTCGCAAGCCCATTGTGGGCAATTCCAGGGCCTTTTAACACCAAGGGGACCTCTTCAAATACCTCCCCCTCCACAACCACGGCCCCAGCGACTTCTCGTCAGGCTCCCGACTCCGTGGCCTCCATGGCCTTCCATGAGGACAATTACAGTCCAAGCTGCAGCCGCCCCTTCCCTTCGTACCCGCCCTGCCGCCGGCTCAGGGGCAACAGCTAATAATCGTGGCCAGCTCAGCCAGCACTCCGCAGGGACCAAACAAGAAGAGAAAGGAGGTTGGAATGCCCTGGGGAAGGTGAAAAGTTTTTTCTCTTCTGTAAAGATAAAAACTCTTAATCCTATGGAAGGTTCTGCCACCAGGGTGGACAAGCTGGCGCCACGGCTTCAGGATCTGTCACGCGCTTTCACACAGCCAAGCTGCTCGGGGCATAACTTTTGTTTTTAAGCTTAATATGAAGAAAGAACTTACTGAATTGAAGAGTACTAAAGCAGTGTATTTACACAGGAGGTGTGTGTGTGTGTGTGTGTGTGTGTGTGTGTGTGGTCACAACAAAGCACAGTCTGGACAGCAGGATAAAACTCAACCGCCTGTTCGAACAGGAGCCCTAGCAGGGAGCTCGTGCCCTCTCGGCAATGCACTGCCCGCCCCAAATCAGGCACACTTCGTCTCCCAAAACCTTTCGGTAAATGCCCTGTGTGCCCTTCACATGGAACACGGCCTTGTCCTGAGTAAAACAGGATCATCAGCCGGACTTGGGGCGCAGCCTAGAACCCTGCACCCAAGGAGCTGAGGCAGGAGGAATGTCATGAGTTCGAGGCCAGCATGGCCACACAGGGTGCTGAAGACCAGGCTAAACGACACAGCGAGAACCTGTCTCAAAAAAACACCCCAGATTATTACAGGGTATACTACAAGCAAGTCGTGATCCTTCCACCTATGAGAACAGGCTTCTCCCTCTAGGAAATAAATGCCTAAGGCAACACAAATTAACTCCATAAGCAAAAGCTGGTAATTAATCCAGTGCCCTCCTCCCCCTGCCCCTGCCTCTGCAACTCTCCTAGACCCCACACACTAATGCTGCTGTTCTACTGACCCCAGGCGTGAGCATCAAGAACATGTTAAAATTATCTACCCACTTTTGGGTGTGGGTGGGTGGGTGTGTGTGTTTGTTGATTGAGACAGGATCTCACTATGTAGCCCAGGCTGGCCTCAAGCTCACAGCAAATCTCCTGCCTCAGCCTTCCAAATGCTGGAATTACAGGCGTGCGCTACCATGCCTAGACTGCTATCTACCATTTTAGATCAGCGTATTACATTCCAGAAATGAAGAACAAAGGCAAAAGAATTTTCACACATGTATTATATATCGGGCTAATCACACAGATTCTCACAGTTAAAAACACCTACAAACTATGAATCCAGTTATTTTTGAGGAATCTTACATGCCTTAAATTTTAGTCCTACTTTGAAAGAAGACATTTGCCTAATTTTCTCCTTATATAACTCTAATTTTAAAACTAAAATGTATTTATTGACACTAACAAACTGGGGAACTTATAGTTACAGAACAGAATAAAAAAGAAGGGAAACTTACAGTAAAAGTAAATGCCGGGGATTTAGCTCAGTGATTCTGCCACTTGCTTCACAAGCATAAGGTCCCAAGTTCAATAGCCAGTACCAAAAAAAAATTTTTTTTCAAATATCCAAACAGGATTACAGAGTGCTTGAAAACATGTACTTGGTGTAAACATACCAGAACAATTTTTAAAATACAAAGTTCCAGTGTATTTCACTTTAACCCAGTCTCTCAACTTTGCCATTCTAGTGCCTCTGCAAAACACCCTAAATTAACACTTAACACCAATTTCAACAGCACAAAAGGAAAGCAGTAACCTGAGTGATACTGCCACCTGTTAAACAGTTTTTCATAATGTTCTCCAAGGACACTCGGAAAGGCCCAAGTGAAGGGCGAGGGAGGGAAGGGAGACAGGTGCAAATCAGAGATCTGCTGAGCATGGTGGCGCAGCCTGTAATCCCAGCACTGGGAAGGCTGAGGCAGGAGGTTCATCAGAAGATCAGAGGCAGCCCGGGCAACACGGTGAGTTCAAGGCCAGCCTGAGACTCTCTCTCAAAACAAATTGCAAAAAAAAAAACAAACAAAAAACACCTCCACAGAGATCTGTTTCTCTTCCCATAACATACAGGTCTCTGATCGGGGAACTTCCTTGACTCTTCCTACACTGTAGCTGCTGGAGGACAGGAGGGTGTGCACCTTGCTAGCAGGTTTGCTGAAATGTGTCGTGTTCCTCTCCACTCCCGCCTGTCAGCAGTTACCCAGCTCAATCTACACGCTGATTCCTCCGAGCAGGCACACAAGCCACGCCGGACTCACCCGTCCAGAAGGCTCATGGTCGTGGTGGTCACTTCAGCAAACAAGATGACTTTCCCGAGGTGCTTGGTCTCCAGATTCTGTCGATAGAGCTCTAGGTTAAAATGCTCTGAGGAGAAGGCCTCTGTGTTGGTGACCACGGGTATGGAAGACGGGGTGATTTCCATTTCCGACGTGTACGATGAAACAAACCTCAGGGACAGCTTGCTGGATTTTATTATTCCTTCCGCATCCACATGTCTCCCAAGCCACTGCGTAAGTAGATCCTGGATTTCCTGTGTCAAAAAGAAAAAAAGAAAGAAATGAAAAGACTGTAATTTAACATTTCTTTAGATGATTGTAGCTTTTCCTTAAAATACCATTTGGGTAATATAAGTACTTCCTACTTCATGACCAGTAAAAGCTGACTGACATACTCTGTACATCTGAACTATTTTACCAGATGGTAATAAATATACTGAGTGCTATGGTCTGAATGCTTCTCTCCAGAATTCATACGCTACAGATTTAACCCCAAAATCGTATGTTAATGTATTTGGAGCTGGGAGCTTTGGGAGGTGACAAGGTCATGCAGGCTCTGCCCTCATGAGTGGATTAGTCCATTAATGGATTACTGGGTTACTGAGAGTGCAGGTTCGGTGTCACAGAGTGGGCCTGTTGTAAAAGCCAGGCGGCTGTTTCCCAGGAGCCCCTGCGCTGTCTCTTGCCAGCATTCCAATCAGCAGAAGCCTGCCACCGGATGTGGGCCCTCCATTTTGGACTTCCCAGCCAGCCTTCAGAACTACAAAAAAGTAGTTTCTTTTCTTATAAATTACCTAGTCCCAAGTATTCAGGTACAGCAACAGAAAATGGACTAGGACACTACATCCACTATAAAAATAAACTTCAGAAATCAGGATCCAAAGAAATAAGGACAGCTTGGTAGCACACTTCCTCTCCAAATTATGTCTCCAAAGTCCCTGCCAGCTCCAGAGTTCACAATAACTCTACAGTTGTCTGTACATCTTACAAAATACTTGTATCTTTATAGTTTAGCCTCCCAAGGAAATTCATCATCCTATCTGTGAAATGAACAAACAAAGCCCCAAGTGGAAAAAGTCACAGAACACAAAGCACTGAGGTCCTAGAGCACCTGATCCATGCCTCTGGAGGACCATCGCTTCCTCTCCTGGTCACCAACATGGCAGAAATGAATTTCTACAAGGAGAAAATAATGGTGAACCCAAAGCTGCTTTCCATTTGCCCCAAATCTGAATCCATGAATGGCAAGGCAGAACCTAGAACAGACACCACCTGACCCAGGCAGGGCTCTCTTCTACCCCTAAAGCACATGGGTCCTGCCCCAGATCCCGGAGGCCCCCAGAGCCCTCTATCTGGGATGGCTTATCTGAACTTGGGGGTTCAAGGGAGTCATCATCCTGGAAGGACTGCACAACAGATGCAGGATCCGAGAGCATCCTGTAAAAATGCCAGATCCTTCAAAAGAAAAACTCATTCCTGAACACTGGCCCCCAAGTTTCCATGCTACAGAGAAGCCGCTTCAAAGACGAACTTTAATTCAACCCAATCAGCCTTTACAACTCACTTCCAGGTTGCAGAAAACAGACTAAATGATTTCAGAAGAAAGAAATGTGACATATTACAGGTGCCTGGGGAATCTTCAACAGCCAGTGTCCCGGGAGAGGGCATGGTGTGAGAAGAGGGGGCATCTAGATTAGGCGGGCCTTGAACCCCAACACATACAATGAGTGGTTCCTTGCTGGATTCTGCTTTGCATGAAATAGCTGGAAAAGACATTTTAGACAGCCAGGAAATCTGAATAGGAACAGTATGCATGAAATAATGAATTACTGTCAGTTTTAATAGGTGTGACAGGGTACTGTGATGATACAGGAAAATGTGGACAACTGGGGACAGCAGGACAAGGAGAACTCTCTTAGCTGCTTTCTTCCTTTCTCCTTAAGCAAGGAGGTTTATTTTGGCTCACAGTTTGTAATGGTTTCGGTGCAGTCTAGGCTGGCTCCAAGGTAGGGTGGCATGGCATCGGGGCCTGGCCAAGAAGAACTAGCTCAGTGGCAGGAAGCAGAGAGAGATCAGGGAGGACAGGGGAGAGAGGGGGACCTTCCAGGCCTGCCCCTGTGACCCGGCCCTCTGATCAGGCTCCACCCCCAACACTACAAGGGGCTCTAAACTCACAAGCCGGCTAATCCACTGGTGAACATCACACCCCATGGTTCGGTCACCTCCCCAAAGCCCCTCTTAGGAGCACATGAGGCACATCCAGATTTAAACCAGAACCACAACTTTCCTCATATTTCAGGCCTGACAACCAGCATTTCAGGATATCAAAACATAAACTTTCCCAGGACATAGGCCCACTTTGTGCTCGGTCGCTCTTCATAACCAAGGGCATGGCTGCCAGGGTGACACAGGACCTGCCCCGTCCCCTACCATGAAAACTATCCCCTCCAAGCTCCAGTGTGAACCCTTTCCTGACTGTCCTACAGTCCCTCACGGTGTCCGCATCAATACATCTCCTTCTGCACTTTTCTGTCCTTGGTAAATTCTTTTCACCACTCCCATCATGGGCCTCCCACAGCCATCAAGCTCAGCAGAAAGTTTTAGAAATGTGAATACCATGATATCTGTAATTTACCTCCAAAGCCGATGAAGTAAACAGATTACAGGTTAATAATTATTAAGTACAGATGACAGGTACTTCAGGTATTTGTTATGCCATTCTCTATTCTTCGCAGCATTTGGAAATGGGCATAATTAAGAGTTTAAAAAACTAAAATAAACATAAGCTACTATAAAAATAATAAACTCAACTAAAACATATTAGCAACTTACTCATTGGCTATCCATTCCATAAACATGGCTGGATGGCTGCTACCCGGCAGGCCTTCCTGTCCCCGAGGATGGGGCACTGAACAAAGTCCAGGTCCCTGTCCTCAGTGAGCTGACCCTTTGGTGTGAGTGGTGTAATGGAAAAATTAACACGCAGGATGGCAGGCAGTGAGCAGTGAGTGCTAAGGGAAGCAATCAAGCAGAGAAGAGAGAGGTGCAAGAGGCACGCCAGAGGGGCCACACAGATAGGCCTTGCCGAGCAGGTGACGGTTACAGAAAGATGGGAATCATGGCGACTTGCATACCGGCCAGCTCGGTGTGTAGGAAGACGCTTGCTTATGTTCCCATAACCCAGCAGACACGGTAAAAGGCTGGAATCCCAGCTCGCTCAGAGGGAAGAGCTGTGAGACTCGCCAAGGGACTGCATTCAGATATTATGAGAAAGGGGCTCATAATGAGCCCACAGTTTGAGGCCCAGCCACCCGGAAGCACAGAGTGCAGGCGAGTGGCAGCTCTGGACAACAGTGAGCACTGTCCAGCTCTGGGCTCACTGAGAGCGATGCACACCAGAATCTGATGCACAGTTCAAGGAGAGGTCCCACACTGTGGGTTAAATTCGGGGACCATCAGACTATACGTAATCATGCAGGGCCAGGAGAGAGGACAGGTGAGTACGGAGAGAGGGAGAGGAAGTGAGCAGGGTGCAGAGGGCTGGATCAATGTCCTCGGGATCTGGGCACAAGGACCATGGGGAGGGGGGTGAAATGACTGCAAGTCCAAAATCAAGGTGCCCTCGGGGCCACACCCCTCAAAAGCTTGCTGTGGCCTGAATGGTCCCCAGGGCTCTCTGCTGGGCTGTGATCCTCCATGCAGCCTCTAGGAGCTGCCAGCTCTGAGGACCCAGGCACTGTGAACAGGTAAGTGTCACTTTCACGGGTGGGGAAGTCACAACAGATTCTGTAAGGATCCCTTACAGAAAGAGGAGTCTGACGCTTTCTGTCTGTCTGTCTGCCTTTGTCTCCCCGCTCTCCCCTTCTGCAACTGAGCTGCAGCGAGGAGGCCCCTGGCGGATGACAGCCCCCACACACACCATCTTGGACTTCCCAGCTCTGGGAGCTGGAGGCCAATAAATTCCTGCTCCCTGCAAAGCATGCGGTCCCAAGATAGCAGCACAGGATGGGCTCAGATGAGGTCCGGGAGCATCTGTCTGCACCCTGACCTAGCTTGGATGATGCCCTCCTGGGCTTGTGCACATCGCGCCATCTCTCTGCCATCACCCCGTGAGCCATGGCGTTCTCCTCTCTGTGAGTCCTGACTGTGCCTCTTCCTCGAAGGACGCCAATCAGACTGGATTAGGGGCCCGCTCTGATGACCTCGGCTTAACTTAATGACATCTGCAAAGACCCAACTTCCAGATGAAGTCACGCTCAGAGATGCTGGGGTCAGGACTTCAGTGGGTCTTTCTGAGGGACACAAGTGACAACAGCAGTCAGTGCTTGGGTGTGGGGGAAGGAGACTGCAGAGGAGACGGAGAAGGCAGGAAAACCAGGCTGCATGTGACGCAGCATGGAGGTGTGAACTGTGGGAGGCCTGTGGGGCCAGACTCAAAGGCTGTAAAGAGAAGGCCGTGAAGCAGCCGGGTGGAGGCCGCAGGGAGGCGGAGCCTGTCTGGGCTCTGACGAAAGCAGCTTCTGTTGCATGACGGAGGCCACAGTCTCCCAGGCATGATGGGAAGACAGAAACAGCACAGCCCAAGGACAACACTCGGGTAGTTTCCTCTAATGGGAAAGAGGGCAATGTGGTGCAGATTAGAGGGAAAAACAGGACCAAAATACCTTTGGGTGGGTTTGAGTGGGAGAAATGGCGCTCTCTTTTGTTGTTGTTGTTTTTTGAGACAGGGTCTCACTATGTAGCTGATACTGACCTGGAACTCACTGTGCAGCCCAGGCTGGTCTCGAACTCACAGTGATCCTCCTGCCTCAGCCTCCCAAGTGCTAGGATTACAGGCATGCGCCACCACGCCATGACACATTTTTTTAAATGTCAATGTGAATGGTCCCACAGACTCAGGTGAAGTTAAACACAGCAGAAATGCCAGTGCCAGAGGGCAAAGGGCTCACCACAGGCAGGCACAGGGCTCACTCCTCCAGTGGGGACAGCCAGCCAGCCTTTCAGCCCCTAGGTTCCAGCCCTTCCTGTGCCATGCCGGCTGCACAGACACAGAGGCCAGCCCTGGTCACGACAATGGCTGCTCATACCCTGCACAGAAGTTGCAGAAAGGCAGGAATCCCAGGGCTGGTACCTGGTACCTACGATGGCTTTTGTTTCCTCAAAAAGTAGGAAGCAAGACAATCAGCTGGGAGAGAAAAGGAGGACGTAGGGCTGGAGATGTGAGCAGGGAGGAACACTGCCTGGGGAGGAGGAG